GGAGAGACACTGTTTAACCTGGCGACCCCCATCATCAAACCAACGCTGGACACAAATAGACCACATAGCAATAAGCTATCGTTGGCGTGGGTCGGTAGGAGATTGTCGCTCCTTCTGGAACACGTGTGTAGATACCGATCATGCACTGGTCCGGGCTCGTGTGTGCTTACGACTGAACGGACGTAGGAAACAGCTGGCGGTAAAACCATCACGTCCCCAGCTCGATCAGGAAACTAAATCCCTATTTGAGGAAGAACTAGCTAAACGCATATCTGAATTCGACAGCTGTGCTCACCCTGGAGAAGCCTGGAAGAATATTCAGTCAGCTATAGATACAGCTGTAAAAGCTGTGAATAAAGCAAATCCAAAGGTGAGTAAAAACCACTGGATTTCGACTGCCTCATCCGAACTGATAGATGCTAGAAGACTTATTCCGGCGAGCTCCGAATTCAATGAGGAGCGAAAGCTGCACAAAAGGAAACTTACTAAAAGTCTCCGCAAGGACCGTGAACAGTGGTGGGTGACAAAGGCGAAAGAGATGGAAAAAGCATTGGCGATAGGCAACACTAGGCAACTCTTTAGACTCATCACAGAATCGGGTGGGAGAAGGCAATTCATAAGTGAGACTATTTCTGAGAAAAATGGCTCCTTAATTAGCTCTCAGGATAGACGCCTTGAACGCTGGAAAGAACACTTTGAGGAACAATTTAACTTGCCTACAGCCACACTGAACCTCCCCGCCATCCACCACGTACCCGAATGGGATATAGACACTGGTCCGCCGTCTGTAGGTGAGGTTACAAAAGCTATCAGTAATTTGAAACGAGGCAAAGCGGCAGGACCCGACGGAATTATTCCGGAGGTGTTTAAATATGGGGGTGACATACTAGTTTGTAGATTAACTGAGGTACTAGGCAAAGTCTGGGAATCAGAGACAGTACCATCAGACTGGGGTAAGTCACTCATTATACCGATATTCAAGAAGGGAAACAAGTCCTCGTGTGATAATCATAGGGGGATCAGCCTAACGAACATAGTCTCTAAAATCCTAGGCTCAGTAATCATGCATAGACTAAGCAGAACTCGGGAGGAACAGACAAGGGAAAATCAAGCAGGCTTTAGACCAGGTAGAGGGTGCATAGATCATATCTTCACTCTTCGACAGATTCTAGAACATAGACACACTTTTCGGCGTCCAACAATTGTCATATTTCTTGACTTGAAGGCGGCCTTCGACTCCGTGGACCGAAAAGTACTATGGCAATGTCTGACTGTGAAGGGAGTGCCAAGAAAGTACATTGCACTAATCAAGGCACTCTATTCAAACTCACGTAGTCGTGTAAGGGCTTATGGGGAATTGTCATCTGAATTAGTAACAACCAGTGGTGTCCGACAGGGATGTCCACTTTCCCCATTTCTGTTTAACTTCATCATAGATATGCTAATGGAAGTATCCTTAACTGAACGTAGTGACTTAGGAATCGACTTGTTACCAGGGAATAATCTAATGGACTTAGAATATGCAGATGACATAGTCCTGTTAGGGGAGGATGCTGACAAAATGCAGAGTCTTCTGAACACCTTGAGCAGCAATCTTCGTATGTTTGGCATGCGATTCGCCCCTGCAAAATGTAAGATGCTGCTACAGGACTGGACCACGTCAACCCCTAACTTAGTGATAGGGAGTGAAGTGATAGAACATGTTGACCACTTCACCTACTTGGGAAGTTGTATTAGCACCAACGGACTGATTGGCGATGAAATCTCAGCACGGATCCGAAAAGCTCGAGCTGCTTTCGCTGACTTACACCATCTCTGGCGTAGGCGTGACATCCGGTTATCAACCAAGGGACGTGTGTACTGCTCATCAGTTCGCTCCGTCCTTCTCTATGGCTCTGAAACATGGCCAATACGCGTTGAAGACATGAAAAGGTTGACTGCTTTCGATCATAGATGTCTGCGATCTCTGTCTCACGTTAGGTGGTTTAATAAGGTAAGTAATGTTGACGTTAGGCGTAGAGTGTTGGGCAAAGAGGGAAAATCAATCGACGAGGTTATAAAGTTACATAGACTAAGATGGCTAGGTCACGTGGTGCGCATGCCTAACCACCGCCTCCCCCGACGGGCATTGTTAGCTGATATAGGTTCAGGTTGGAAAAGAGCCAGTGGTGGCCAAACAAAAACATGGCATCAATCCATGAAATCCTTGACAGTTAAACTGAGTCAGGTAGGGAGATGCAGACTCCCGGGTTGGGGCCCTCGGGACTCTAGGAATCAATGGCTGGAGACAATAGGTGACATGGCTCAAAATCGTTGTCAATGGCGCAGATGTATTCAATCTCTGTAATCTTTCATATTCCTTTCTACCATTACCCATTCTGTTTCACTCTTATATTTGTCAAACTCTATTAATTCTCTTCACTCATCTTCTTGTCTACCTCTGTGTGCTATTTGGAACGTGGCAACTCGAACTGCTGCACTTCGGTGCCAAGTTCTATGTTGAATCCAGACAGACAGACCTAAAAGGTGCAATAGGAATGACTCGATACCAGTATCAGAGATACGGAAAGTATTACCGCCAATGAAATCAAAGGATAAGAAACAGTGGAATAATTAAAAGAAATTTGGAAAGTATGTCAGTGTACTGACATGATTATAAGCAATAAATTATACCTGAAACGTAATCGGTATATAGTACTGTATCACTGTGTGATTTACCATATAAATTTACTCTATGACGGAATTGATCTAAATTGCATGATAGTCAAAGCCAAGGCTGATAAATCATCCTATTAACAATGACAGTATGTTGGTTCCAGCAAAATGAGGCTTATTAGGGATGAATGTTGATAACTATCTTGTCTAGGGTAAAATTACGGCTTTAAATGAATAAACATAGCAGTACAAAAAACACTATACTAGAAAGATTTTTCATTTGGCGACCTACATAAGTACGTGGAAGAGTGTGCATGTTGCATTCATAGGATATGGGGAAATTGCAGTGATTCTAAAGGTTGATAAAGGAGTTATACAAAGTTCGCCTTTATCTGGATTTAAAGGAGTTATCGTTTTCAGTCAAACGTGAACTTGTTAACTGTGAAGGTGAAATGGGTATTAGATGTCTGAGTGATTGTTATCTTGAAAAACATCAGAAATTGCGCTCCAAGGATATAAGAAAAGAGCTTTATCAGTCGAAAAGGAATTGCAGTTAGGCTGTATTGTTATAAATGCACTCTTAGAAGCAGTGGATCAATGACACCATTAGCTGTTGAACGTGGATACGAAAGATAGATCAGTAACAACCAGCTTAGCTTGCATCTTAAGGACTAAATTAATTAATACTGAGGAAACTACAGGTCACTCAAAAAAATGGCTTTGGAAGGAGTTCTAGTAACACTGTTTCAGAAGTCAATTAGTGGACACTAGAATTCCTCAATAATGGGTTCTGCAGAATTCACTTAGTCAAGTGAAGTGACCTTGGGAAGAGACCTCCATATATTTGAAAAGAAAGAAGAATATCCCATACATTATGTAGTCGTTTAGCTGTATAAACAGTTACATGATCCATGGTACATATAATGGAAGTCGTATCAAGTCCGAAACGAGTAGTGCTTAACTAGTACCAGCTTGAAAAGTGACAATAGTAAGCAATTTCAAAGTTCAGACTGAATGCAGACACCAATGTCTGCATACTATTTGGATATAATATTGCTAAAGATAACTGAGTTCTAGAACGATTAACAGATAATCCTGAGAAGCTGAGTGCCATTCAGACAACCGCTAGTTGTGTATTAGAAGGGATTTTACTGCTGTTACTGCTGAAAACAGAGTGCAAAATTATTCTCCTCTTCTGTTTTTACGAATTCTTTGATTGGATTTCTTCTCATGTTCAAGTGAGAAGTTGGTGGTTATTGTTAGTTTGAAAGGAATCATTCAACTACTTCCAGGATCCGAAAGTGAACGGGATGTTCTTCATTCTGCAAAAGCGATCTATTGCGGAAGCCAAAAAATGGTGGTAGATATAAACCGACTTCAATAAAAGGTCATCGAAATTCGACGTTCAGAAGGAAAATCATTGGAGCTTAGAAGCACACAACACAAAACGGAATACATGCATCAATACAAATTTCTATAACCCCATCTTGAGTCAATCAGAAAATAGATGGCGGTAAATGAAAAAATGCGGAAAAAGACGCTAAAACAAAATAATAATAAGTGAAACGACTTAAATGACTATTCAACTGGTGTCATTCCTCAGATAGTGAGAACTTAGTGCATCAGACAGACATATTGGAAAGATAAGCAACAAAGAACTCTGGCAGTCATTGTACTAGCCATCAATAACAAATATGAAGATGAACTAAACATGCCGTTGGAGAACCGTTGAGTGAAATCATACTTCAGGCCCCTGAATGAAACGCCACTGGGAAGCAACAGACCTGGCATTTGATAGTGATATAGAGATTATGTGAAGAGGGAATGAAAGCTTATGGGCAATTGTATAGCCAACTGAAAACGATGGCAAAGAAGAGAATAGGGTGGAGAGATGCTGAAGCTCTATGTTTCACTCGAAACGAACAATAATAATCATTATTATCTATTTAACCATACACTGTGCGATCACCTAATACAAACCCTAAGACGTAAGATGAATTCATTTTAATCCGTAAAACTTATTTTCACTACATTATTCAAACTATCTTTTAATTTCCTCTGGATGTACTTAATTCATCTAATTGAAAGCGGCAGGACCCGACGGAATTATTCCGGAGGTGTTTAAATATGGGGGTGACATACTAGTTTGTAGATTAACTGAGGTACTAGGCAAAGTCTGGGAATCAGAGACAGTCCCATCAGACTGGGGCAAGTCACTTATTATACCGATATTCAAGAAGGGAAACAAGTCCTCGTGTGATAATCATAGGGGGATCAAGCCTAACGAACATAGTCTCTAAAATCCTAGGCTCAGTAATCATGCATAGACTAAGCAGAACCCGGGAGGAACAGACAAGGGAAAATCAAGCAGGCTTTAGACCAGGTAGAGGGTGCATAGATCATATCTTCACTCTTCGACAGATTCTAGAACATAGACACACTTTTCGGCGTCCAACAATTGCCATATTTCTTGACTTGAAGGCGGCCTTCGACTCAGTGGATCGAAAGGTACTATGGCAATGTCTGACTGTGAAGGGAGTGCCAAGAAAGTACGTTGCACTAATCAAGGCACTCTATTCAAACTCACGTAGTCGTGTAAGGGCTTATGGGGAATTGTCATCTGAATTGGTAACAACCAGTGGTGTTCGACAGGGATGTCCACTTTCCCCATTTCTGTTTAACTTCATCATAGATATGCTAATGGAAGTATCCTTAACTGAACGTAGTGACTTAGGAATCGACTTGTTACCAGGGAATAATCTAATGGACTTAGAATATGCAGATGACATAGTCCTGTTAGGGGAGGATGCTGACAAAATACAGCAGAGTCTTCTGAACACCTTGAGCAGCAATCTTCGTATGTTTGGCATGCGATTCGCCCCTGCAAAATGTAAGATGCTGCTACAGGACTGGACCACGTCAACCCCTAACTTAGTGATAGGGAGGGAAGTGATAGAACATGTTGACCACTTCACCTACTTGGGAAGTTGTATTAGCACCAACGGACTGATTGGCGATGAAACCTCAGCACGGATCCGAAAAGCTCGAGCTGCTTTCGCTGACTTACACCATCTCTGGCGTAGGCGTGACATCCGGTTATCAACCAAGGGACGTGTGTACTGCTCAGCAGTTCGCTCCGTCCTTCTCTATGGCTCTGAAACATGGCCAATACGCGTTGAAGACATGAAAAGGTTGACTGCTTTCGATCATAGATGTCTGCGATCTCTGTCTCACGTTAGGTGGTTTAATAAGGTAAGTAATGTTGACGTTAGGCGTAGAGTGTTGGGCAAAGAGGGAAAATCAATCGACGAGGTTATAAAGTTACATAGACTAAGATGGCTAGGTCACGTGGTGCGCATGCCTAACCACCGCCTCCCCCGACGGGCATTGTTAGCTGATATAGGTTCAGGTTGGAAAAGAGCCAGTGGTAGCCAAACAAAAACATGGCATCAATCCATGAAATCCTTGACAGTTAAACTGAGTCAGGTAGGGAGATGCAGACTCCCGGGTTGGGGCCCTCGCGACTCTAGGAATCAATGGCTGGAGACAATAGGTGACATGGCTCAAAATCGTTGTCAATGGCGCAGATGTATTCAATCTCTGTAATCTTTCATATTCCTTTCTACCATTACCCATTCTGTTTCACTCTTATATTTGTCAAACTCTATTAATTCTCTTCACTCATCTTCTTGTCTACCTCTGTGGGCTATTTGGAACGTGGCAACTCGAACTGCTGCACTTCGGTGCCAAGTTCTATGTTGAATCCAGACAGACAGATAGGCAGGCAGACAGACAGATAGACAGACAGACAGACAGACAGACACTGATTATTACTCTGTAATTAAGCTGTGATCTTGAAAAAAAAAGGTAATTTCATTAGTATACAACACGGATGTGTATTGCAAGCATACCCTCAAAAAAGGTGAGACAACTTTTTATATCTTCAGGTGTACTAGGGCATAAAGGTAAGGAAAACGAATTCAGTGAAAAAGCCGATAAACAGTGATTGGGTGTTAGCTAAATATGTTTGAGAAAAAACAAATCAACAAACAAAGTATTAATGGATCAGTTAGCAAAACATGAGTTAAAAGTGGAGATTCTCGTGTTATATTAATCAGGTCTACAAACAACATAAAACAAACACAAATAGAAATGAAAATTTACACAAGACACACACCAATTTTAATAAAGTGTTGTATTAAAATTACTGGTGACTAAATACAGCAACAAATTCGCACAAAAAAGTGTTACTTTGTTATTTACCCACCTAAAGAAGTATCACTGACTTCAAGTGTTTCTGAAACGGGAACTAAATATACAATAGGAAAACTTTTATCATATACAAATAAGAGTGATAAGATGGACAATGGATTGAATTTTTACAAATTACGCTGCAATTGAAAGACAACCCTAAATAAGACATTTTCAATACTGACTAACTGGACAAAGAAACTTCTATAGGAATATAGAGGTTTCAGTTACCGTTACTTTCAAAAATACAGCAAGTGAATATACTTGAACATGTCATTCAGTTCATCTGTCATATGAGAGATAAGATATTTCATGTACGCCCAAACCGAAGCAAATAGTTGTTCTACGGGACCATTCTCCAAAGCTTTGACAAAATATCTGATGTACAAAGCAGCTGAAAAGCATTAGATCCTTCCCATTAACTCCGGTAGGTGAAATAGCTTAACACACCACTTTTTTTCCAGATCCTGGAGCCAATGTGTCCTAAAGGCTTGGTATCAAGAATTTCCAACGCCCTTAGGTGGATTCTCCAAGTCCACCGGTCAGTTGGTGCCAGATGGATAACTGCACTGATTATTTCAACCTTATGAGAACAACCTTTGTTGTATGAAGACAATGATTAAGACTTACGTGGAAAAGGCTCCGACCACTTGGCTCTGTGAAAGCATGTTAATGAAAAGGCATAAGTCTACTCACCCTCGATCATTTTCCTTTTGATTATAGCTTGATTTTACACTGTGTTTTTGGTACAAGTATGGAATTTTCAGCATGCGACATCGGTAGCCCGAATTTGCAAGTCAACCATTGATATCAGGAGTGCGTCGGAAAGAGATCGAACCCCGGACCATGTGCATGGTCAGCGAGAGTCCTGACCGCTGTGCCACAGGTGCACACAAGAATATATACATATATGTATAGCCGTGAGCATGGACTACTAAATAAAGAATAACTTTTCCAACTACATTCTCTTCCAATTTAACAGCTATGTATCTATAACAGCCGAATAATGCATCTCTATACATCAACCGTAAAAGTTAATTTGTAACCATGAAACAATAAATAAAGAAAATTTGAAAACGTTTTTAACGAATAACAATGCTGGTAATCAATTTAAAATAAGTATGTGTGAGGTAAAATTAGGTTGTCTAAATGAAAGATTTCACCGGAGATATTGGGCTAATAACAGCTGTAGCTTACAGCTGCAATGGCATTCAATATTCAGCAATGATCTCCACTGACATGATAAACAATACTGTGGTGGTTCCAACAGAATATCATTATCACATATTCCCACAGTTCAATACTGACTGCATTAGCAACAAGATACTGTATGTGTTTGAACATTCTATTTCATGTCATTTAATGTAAACCAAAATCACACCCTCACTGATTGGTTAAAGAATATAAACTGTATTTATATAAATAGCGGTTTGATCAATTGAAAATATACCTTGGCTTCTGTGTCTTGCCTTCTGCTGTTACCGTACCACCTTTATTTAGCACACTGTTATATTAAGGTCCGACTGTTTGTACGCGATACCTAGTTTTCCAAGAGTACAACAAGCTTTGGTAAAGCATTGGTCGTTATGTACAGATTCCTATATCCGAATAAAACTACTATCCTTCCTATCTTACTAAGTTATTCTGGTTTAACGTCGGATAGCATTATAGCAGCAAAACGTAAGGCAGAGTTTTGCTTGTAAATGTTTGTGTATATGTAGGCAGAATTGGACAACTAAGAATAGAAAGACGAATAATAGTTTTGCGTAAGCTGTGAATACAGGTGGGTAAAAAAACAAATTAGAATGATAATATAATTTAAGATAATGTTGGCTAAGAAGACATGCGTCTATAATGTGTAAGTAGAAGATAAAAAAAAGTGATAGAGATATCAAGTGTTCTACTCTGATCTTTTTCTACCTGAATTAATATCGTTGATAAAAAAACAGCAGTTACCTTCAATTTGACCTACATAAATATCAACTTGCAGACATACATTACGGTGTAAATTAGTTCATATAAATACATACAGTTTAGAAAGTGAAGTGGGCAAAACTTGGATACTTGAATCACATGACATAGTCAGCAATTTCGGACGTTTTGCACTCACTCAGCTTAAAATCTACCAACGGGAACAACGATACTACTGGCTGATTTAATTTATGGGCCGATAAAAATGATGAGGGAGAACACACCAAATTCCATTATGGGTAAAAACTTATTTTGATAAAGCCTGTGTTATACAGTAATATTTACAGATGACGTCTCGAGCACAATTTATTGCTCATAATCATATCACACCAGAGTTCGGACTAGAGTTACTAAAGTAACCAGTTAGAATGCGTGTGAGTACTGGCAACAAAATGAGAGAAACAACTTATCATATATAAAAACCACCAGAAGAATATATTTAGCTAATTCAGTAAAACCTTCTAAAACCGAATTTCCTTATTAAGTTAAAGTTGAGTTTTGTTCAGAATGAGTGGGAAATCAAGAAAGTAACACTATTAGAAATGAAAACATAAAACACAAATTCAACAGAGCCATATCGTACATAGAAAGACTTAGAAACTCAACTTTGTGTGTTCATGACCAATCAATTACAAGCTATCCAGTAATAAAGGATGAAATGGAAAATTAATGGAAAACTCAGCACTTCTGCAAACTCGCATAAATCACTTGACCAACCAGTCATTTTATCCATTAATATTATACTTTTATTTACATATATAGATTATGTTATTTTAATTTTGTAATCTTTTTAGTTTTATACATTTGGTCCCCATGATAAATTTCGATAGAGAAAGAAAGACCAGATTTGCAGTATAAAGTGATATCATTCTATTCCACAGGTTCTCATCAGCTGCAGACTACTTTGAGTTGCTAATCAGTGTGATATCTAATATGGCTATTCTGACACCACTTCTCTCATTTAAGCTTGTCACCTACAGCGTTCGCACACTGATGCAAATAGAACAACAGGTAGGTCTAACTGAAACCCTGGAAATTCTGTTTGTTGATGTACGCTGTCACTCAGTGAAGTGCTTCGAACATCTTCCTCAGCTGAGAATTCAAACAATACGTTTCATGTGAGCTTATTCGGGGACCTCGTGGCATCAGCATCTCACTTAGCTGGTAGTGGCACCATACCGAGCGCGAGAGCTGAAGAAGGACTAGTCAAATGAATCTCCATTAACAGTCGTTTATGTCCCACTCAGTTAGACGATCTTGTGATTATAAGACACAGGCCAGAGAAGTGTTTTCTACACATATTATTTCTACCTAAGCACGGAGAGATTGCAGTTGGATAAGTTCCACTAACTAGTCAATGAGCTTCGCAAGTGCGTTGACACATATCGCAGTATAGGCTGCAGAATTAAATGCACAGGCTCAGAGAAGAGTCCTTTAGTTGGTGAACTGAGACTGGGTAGCTTCAGGTCAGATAATGGATACCTTGTTCTGCAGCTATGTGCCGATTACAACAACAGCCATAAGGCACTTAGCCAAGACAACTTACCCGAGTCTTTCTAACGGTGATAGTGCGACTGCGTCGTTTAGAAAAGTATGGGAAAATGTGAGTGTTGCAACAGTATGAAGTGAAATCACCATTATACCTGTCTTTATAAAGTCTGTCTAATGCATGTGACAATCATTGGAATATTAGCTGGTTACCGGTTGCATCTAAAATATACTGATGTCATGTTCGGAATGTTTTCTGGAACGTGTGAGAAATTGCTTCATGAAGACCAGGCTCAGTTGCATTCAGGTCGCGGATGCGTCAATTATGTGTTCACTCTCCATCAGTTGTTGAAATACCATTACACAGGACAACAATCTTTGATATAAGAGTCCTTTGGAATTGTATGTTGGAGGGGTGTTTTTGAGAAGTTGGTCAACACTCAGCCACCTATCATCCCTGATATCAATCACCACTGTAGTTATACACGGTTGCCCAACTCTATAACTTTACCACCCTGACATTTTGCAGAACATGAGTAGTGACATTACTGTTACTCAGTTTGCAGTTGCTGATATTTTCAGGTTCTTTCTCTGATAATTAACTGTTTATTTAAATGATGTCACTGAACCATAATCCATTTTTATCTTAATTTTAATCTCCCACATTCTTCCTCCTTATCTATCATAACTCCACCTGCAAAATATTCGCACCTATCATTTCGCATGATTGATTCACTGTAGTTTATTTTCCTATCGGTCATATGTTTCCCAATGAATTCCTAATAGTATACATACATATATGACTGTAAGGAAACTATTCAGCTGAAGAGTTCTACCAAAAATTTGGTGAATGCATTAGGTCCTGCTTACTAACATTTGTTGCTTGACTGTTTTGTATTTCTTTATTACTCCTTTGTCTCACACCTCTGCTCACTGTTTCTATTATGCTTTTCTTGTACTTCCTTCTCTTGCTTCGCGTGCTACACGGAATGTGGCGACTTGAACTTCCGCACATTTGTGCAAAGTTCTATGTCGAAAACAGACAGACAGACAGACAGTTGCTTGACCTAAACTTGCCATATTTCTTTGGATCCGAAGACAGCACCCGACTCCATAGACTGAGAGGTAATGTGTAAATGTCTGTTCATCAGAGCAGTGTCGAAAAAGTACACTACATTGACAGACACACTCCTAGAACTCATAAAGTCATGAGTTGGATGTTGCCCTATATCTTCCTATTTATTTAGTTTCATCACAAATGTGCTAATGGATGCAACATTAATGGACTCTAGAGACTTGTTACTAGAATACAACCTCGCTAATTTAGAGCATTAAAATGTATCAGTCCTTCTGACAGAGTGTCGAGTCTTCGGAACACCTCGACAAAATGTCTTAGTTTGTTTGATTACGGGATTCACCCCTATCAAATGTAAGATGGTGGTGCAGGCAGTCTGCAGGATCGCTAGTGAAATGATTGAGCGTGTTGACCACTTCATTCATTTGGGAAACCCTATCCGACCTCTTAAACTGAATGCTGATAAAATCTCAGCATGGATACAAAATTTTCGTTCGGTACTACAAATTTAAATCATCTTAGGTGCAGGTGTGATATCCCGTTATCGATCAAAAGGCGCGTGTATTGTATAACACTTCGTTCTGTCCTTTTTCCATTCATAAGACATGGCTGTTGCAAGTGATTTTCGCTTATAAGTGATTTCACTAAGTTTCGGATGTTAGTTCGAGCAATATGGTAAGTAATACTAGGGTTAAGCGTAGAATTTAAGGATGGGAATTCGACTGATGAGGTTGTGAGGTTCCATCAACTGAAGTGGTTAGAATATGGGTTACGCTTGTTAAGCGAGCCAATTCCCCGACTAGCTATGCTACCTAATGTAGTATTTTGTTCGAAAAGAGTTAAAAGATGAAAGCTGATGATGTGCGAAAGAACGTTTTGCACCTATAGAACTTTCTGTGGGCCACTGCTACTTACATTCTATAGAAATTGGTCTCTCCTTCGGGTACCTGAAAGAGAAAAAGCGTTAGTGTTGCGTGACTTGATAACTGGAAGCACAAGTAGTCCAGAAATAACACCAGCGGACATAGAACGGTCAGTGAACACCAGTCCTCCGACAAAATCAGATGTCTTCAGGGCTGCCAAGTCACTAAAGTCAGTCTGGAAAGTAGCAGGATCACACGGAATCTTCCAGAAGCCCTGCGACCGGACACAAGTATCTCGGAGGACATATCTGCGCGACTATCACAGCTGTGAAAGGATAGAAAGGTAACTGCCGATCGGAAGAAACGTTGGTTTATGAAACTGACAAAGGGCGACTTAAGCCTACGCAAGAGTAAAAAATATCTTGGATAAGAAATTTCGCTCGCGACAGGCGAGACTAGGAAAAACAGATCATGTACGGACTAAATTGCAGCAATACGCATCATCATCGAACAAAGCCTACAATAACCGTCAACACTACAACTCAACTTCACCGACTTTGGAAAGGCCATCGACAGCTTCATCCGGGAAGTAATTTCTCAACTTTTTCAACAATACGAAGTGCAGTGCGGCGAACATAAACAAATCTCACTCAACAACTATTATGTCACACGCTAAATAATTCACAGCCGAAAACACTGTGAAGCGTTTAAATTAAGGACAGGAGTGAGACAAGAGTACCTTCTATCACCGATATTCATCTTGATTGTGGTGGATTGGATCATGTGGGAAAGCGAGAGAGAAGACAGGCATATACTGGTTTGGCAGAATGACCCTAGAAGAATTGGATTCCACGGATGACTTATACTTCGTTTCACACAAACTCGGAGATATGTGAACGAAAACCCACAAGTTGACAAAAGAGACAGAGAAGACAAGACTTTGGGGAAACATAGAGAAGCCACAGGTGGTGATGACTGATAACCAGCAACAACAACAACAACTACTACTACTACTGCCAGTGCAACAAGCATCAATCATCAACGAGAGTAGCCAAAGGAATGTCATCTGTCTTCATAACCTAATTATTATTATTATTATTGCTCCCTTGGGTTCCTAGTGGAACATAGGGCTTCAACTGCACGTCTCCATTTGCTTCTGTCTTCTGCTGTACTTTTCACCTGCATCCACGTTAGTTCATACTGTTTCAACTCCTCTTCACACGATTTCCTCCATATCCCACACGCCGCTTCCCTTTCGGGTTCCAATCGAGCAATGGCCTGACGCGCGATGTCACCCAGCGGTCTCCTCAGCGAGTGCCCAATCCATCTCCACTTTCTCCTGCATATTTGTTGGGCGATTGGTTCTTGCTTTGTTTGTTCCTATTGTTCCTTGTTGGTGATTCTTTCTGACCCGGCCATCTGATCTTCAGTAGAGAGAGAAGACAGTTGTTAATAAAGGTCTGCAACTGGGTGTTGGAAATATTCTTTGTGACCCGCCAAGTTTCTGATCAGCATAGAAGAACTGACTTTACGTTCGTATTGAAAACCTGAATTTTTTGTTCATGCTGAGTGACGAAGATTTCCAGATTGATTTCAGGTTGACGAATCTGTTTCTCACCTTCCCGATTCTCGATTTGACAACTCCCTCCGTTCCTCCTCCTCCTGTAGTTGAGACAATGCTCCCTAGATCAGTGAGTGAATGAAGTAACCTCTTTCAAATCCCTCCACTTGATGGTGATTGGCGCTGGATGTTGCTGCTGTTGCTGTTGTTGGTTGGTTATTTTAATCACCTCCGTCTTGTCTATGTCCAGTTGGAGTCCTATCTTTGCTGCTTCTTCGACCAGTTTGTCGGTTTTCGCTTGTAAGTCTTCGATTTTGTGTGACATTAAACATAAATCACCCACGAAATCCAGGTCTTCTAAGTTCTTCACGTCGGTCCAGGATATTCCTATCTTCTCGTTTCCGACTGTCTGACGAATAATCCAGTCCACTACAATTAGGAATATCATTGGTGATAATAAGCACCCTTGTCTGACTCCTGTGTTTACTCAAAACACCTAGTTAGGTAACCTTAATTCGACTTAATGCAGTGTGCATGAGGGAGTCAAAATCAACCATGATCGAGAAAGCAGGACAGGTGTTTATTACTCTGAAGTCAGTATTAAGATCTACAGTGCTCAAAACAAGGGACGAGATCAGAATTTTTAAAACTCATGACATGTCAGTGCTTTTGTTTCATTCGGATATGTGGAATGTCCGTCACTAAAAGCATTTCCGACAGCCTTTTAAGTAGACTTTCATTAACAGCTACTTTCGGTCAATGGTACTGAAGATCAAATGGTTGGCTGGGAAGGATAAACAACGAACCAAAGAATAAGACTGCCTAAAAAATTAAAATGATGGTGGAATGGAGATACACTGAGGATATCGTTGAGGGACACCACATATAAGGCCCTCGAGTGGAACCCGAATGGGAAGCAACAAGTTGAGCTTTTCACAGTGACACAGGGTAGATCATATGAAGAGGAAATGAAGGCTTTTGGGAAATCGTAGAGCCCACTAAAAGAGATGGTGGGAGTCAGAATACAACAGAGATGTGCTGCTGAAGTTCTACGTTCCACTCGGAACCCAAGTAACGAATGATAATATAGTAATAAACCAAACCGAATGGCACTAAACTTTGAAGTCTCAAACAGTCTCTATTTATATGTCTGATCTTCCGGAGTACGGAAACTTGAACTGATTCACTTTTATGCGGCATTTTATGTGAACAAGTCAGACACTCAGAATGATGATTGAACTGAATACTAAAATTCTATGTATAGAGTTGAAGAGAATGTGAAATGAGGGAAATGACAGAATCTGTGTAATTAACTATGAAAGCTGTGACCACGAAAAGAACAAAACCAATATAAATTTAGAACTCCAATGATCAAAACCCTTTTTCACCTACTTAGTCATATGTTAGAAAATTGAGAGACGAGAACAGTGAATATAATGTGTATACATTATTATTAGAGAAAATAAAACATACCGATATCATCAGCATCATCTACTTGTCCCACGACGGAAACTGATTCCAGAGCTGTCTCATAATCCACGCTGCAAAAAAGATAGTATACATCCAACAAGTGCAAACGCCTAAAATAGTATATTCAACCTAGAATTAAAACAAATAATTGATACAGTTAGGCTACTTTTAAGTTGAGTGAAATGACTGGTTACAAACCACTAATGTTAACTTATGGGTTTCTACAAATTTCTCCGGTATCAAGAAGTGAAGGATCCAGCTCTTATTTTGATGGGTACCGTTTATTTAAAATCATGTTGTTCTAATTGTCTGACGATGTAAGCACAACCATACTTGTAAATTTTGTTTTTATTCCTTTACGTTCCCAGCGGAACATAGGGCTTTAAGCTAAAGACTTGAAGCTTCGGTAGCAGTAGTGTTTACTCTTACGGGGTGATTTTACTAGCCTCACGCCTAACCTTCCCTCTATAACAGCCTTATTACTGGCTTAGAGGGGTAAGGGAGTGCGTCAACGGAGATTGAACCCAGAATCAAATGCGTGGCTGGAGAGCATCCTACCGCTGTGCCATCGACGCACTACGTGTAAAATATTTCATCCAAATACAGAAATATGTAGTTTAAGACAAACAACCGAATCTTCAGAATCGGCAAGCGAATAACTCAATGTACTGATTGCTTGGGTCTACCAAAGAAGCCTATTTCATAAGTTTTCAAACCATATCTTCTACTCACTATGGACATGTATGTGTGTGTGAATAAAATGAGCACCAGGCTGTGTTACATGTAAAAGACTCAATAGAACAAAAGCATTTGTTCCATTAAGATTAATATCTTGGTTGTTAAAAGCATATAACCTTTTGTGATTATGTATCTGAACTAGAATTCACTTGACTTGAGTATACTGGAGTCTGAACAGTATTCGGTTTACATCACATTAATTTATTCACGGAAAATATCCAAAGCACCTATATCACTTTGAAAATATATCACCTACTTATATTAATCCACTGACGGGTATAAAATTTCAAGTTTCCCTCTACCTGTAATAATAAAGCCTACTACCGACTACGTGTACCGAATAAATCACACATTTCCCGCCGCAATATGATAATCCTTTATTATTCATCATCTGATACTGTTTTAAAGAATGTTCATTGCTAATTTGTATGTTAACACTCCAAGAAAAGTGTAGTTCTGATGATAAAGTAATAGTGGCATTTTTACACAACAAAATTCCAATGTTCATCATTTGCGTAAATTTTGTTTGATCAAATATCATTATTTTCCTTCAGAAAAACATGAGACCTCGTTTCCATAGATGACAGTGTGTAATTGTGTAAGTGGATAATGCTAATTTTACAACTGAAACAACCAATCTAGGGAACACAACAACAACAACTAAAACATCCACCTGAGATAAAAATCTCTGTCGCTTTGAAAACTTGAAAAGAATTGCATAACGTTTCATACTCTGTTGAGATCATATATATCCGGCAATTATTTCAGAGGGTGACAAAACAACTAAAGTAGGCGACACATAATAGGCGCGGCTACTAGAAACTGATAAAAAATGAATAAATTATTTTACGATTTAATACTATTCGTGAAAAGTAGAATTTGAAAAGTGACGTATTTTCTAAGTTGTAGCCAGCAGGATCCCACAAGTCAGCCAACAGGACAATAGCTCGTCTGTAACATTGGCTGGCAGTCACGCTAAATTCATCAAAAAGCGGCAGATGTGATTCATGTACCAGCGGGTCAGGTCCCAGTGGCTTAATGGTCTACGAGCTCGTCTCGTAACCGGGAGGTTCTGGGTTTGAAACCCCAATGAGTGCACACCGCTGAAGAGTAGAGAACCAGGACGAGAAGGTTACTCATTACTCCCTGGTTTTCTAATGTTTCTCTAACTGATACCAGCTCGTGATCAGTCCTGTCGCCAATGAAATTCCTGCAAATCAACATTTGATACTGTCTAAGGTCTTTAATAAAACAATTCATTATAAATGCTCATATCGGAATGAAACGATAACTATTCTAGAAGGTAAAATCATAGCTTTTGAAATTCATGACAATAAGAGATGAAATTAAACTCTCTTGAGACCACGAATGCTGCTCTCACGCTACCCCTCCCCCTTTATACATTTGTACATGTGTCAATGACACATACACTTTCCATGTTATTCATCAAAATAACAGAAATTTTTTTCTCGCGGTTAAATGATTTCTAACTGCTCTTCTCCTAAGCAGGAGTACACAAAAATCAACTAAGGAACACTAAATAAAAGGGTATTTTATCCCTCAGTATTATGCAGTTCAAATAAATAACACATATTTGTAAGTCTTTCTTTATCACCTTGTGGTGGCAAGTAAAGCCACACATTTGCATGTTATATAGCACAGATATCAGATATCCAGATAAATAAATATATAACACCGATATTCTGACTTACGTGTCTTGATAAAGGTCAATGAAAGAAGAGGTACGGTCATTAGGTTTTAGAGCATCATCAAGCAGCGCTGAAGTCTTTGCGTCAGCTTCATACTCTAGTAACAATGAAAAAAGTAGTGTGACTAAGTGAATTTCAATAAATCGTCAAGTGAATAACGTTAACGATTTCAACACGTTTTTTAATGAAAAACGCAAAAACTAGTAAATAAATGGTCTATTTTGTCAATTAAAACGTGTGACTATGATACCTGCGTGCAGTATCTTCGATGACTACGTCAACCTCTGGGAAGTTACATGCGGAAATAAGAACCTCCATAAACATATTAACAAATTTTGATGAAAACAGAGGGGGTAAACGTCATTTGTGAGCGCTATTTGACGTAGACGCCTTACAAGACAGCTCATTAGAGGATGTAAGATATTTATGGACAGTTTCTGACAGATATGCTTCTGTTATACCTAATTCCAAGAGCTGCTCGAATGCAAGCTGACAAAAAGACAGCGCAACGATCGCGAACAGTAGTGAGTAGAAAAAGCCAATAAGATGGAAAAGATATTAGATACAGGTAGCACCAGACAACTATCCAAACACATTAGGGAACAGACTGTAGAACATAATTGGTAAGTAAAACGATTTCCTCGGAAGAGGGAGCTTAAGTCACCTCCTAGGACAGATGACTGGAACTTCGGAGGGAATACCTTGAAGGATATTTCAACTAGTCTACAGCCACAAGAAATTTGTCCAGAATCCTACTTACCTACCTCAATGGGATGTACACATCACTCCTCCAACACTAATCGTGGTGGCAAAAAACTATCTCTAATTTGAAACTAGGATAAGTAGCAAGACCTGATGCTACGACTGCAGAGATGTTTGAGGGTGGTGATGAACTATTGACTGGGTGAATGAAGATATTAAGTAATGTGTAGGAATCTGAAATAGTCCCATTGGATTGGTGCCCTGATTGTCCCAGTTTGTGAAGACAGACATGAGCCCTCTCGTGAAATATATAGAAAGACTAGCTTGACTAACGTAATATCCGAAACTATAGGTCCAATAGTCCTGTGTAGACACGGCAGAGTTTGGGAAGAACAAACCCGTGAAAACCAGGCAGGTTATAAGGTCCGTACGAGGATATATTGATTACATCTTTACACTATCTTTAAGTTCCTCCACACAGACACACAATATTTGTCAAAATTCTTGTAATGAAGACAACTGACTCCATTAACATAATGATACTGTGGAAATATCTGGCAGTCAATGAAGAGTACACCAAATACATCGCACTCCACTAGAACTCACTCAATTATATAAAAGCTAATGGAGAGTTATCATCTCGAGTGAATAAAAACAGTGGTATGCATCACAGAGGCTCTATCCCCATTTTTAAAATTTTATTATACATGCACTAATGAATGTAACGTTGATGGATTTTAGGAAGTAATCTTGTCGACTCAAAGAATGTAGATGATATTGTCCCTCTAAGTGAAGACGCTGACAAAATGCCGTCTTTTGAACACCATGAGCGGTAATCTTGGCATGCCCTTTGATTTTGGTGTGCACTGACTCCTAGTTCAAGGATAGGGGATAAGGAACAGCAGCAGTGGACTGAATGTTAACGAGGTCTTAGCAGGAACACAAAAGGCCCATGTAACATTTTACAACTCGACTATAGATAAGATTTTATTTTGATAAATGACTCAGTGTTGCACAGTTATATTAACTGATGACGTTTCGAGCACAAACTATTGCTCATAATCATATCAAGTTACTCACACAACTTATTTCCTTCATTTATATACATGTATGGAATTGACTAGATATCTGAATAAAAATCAATATAGGATAATGTACATTCAGAAATAATAATAATATGAGTGTTATCAGTCAAGTACAATCAGATGGGAAATAAGAGGAGTGTTTTTATAGTCATAATAAGTTAGTTGTTAGGACGTTGTGATGTTTGAATTGAAATAGAATTTTAAGATTATTTATTATCGTCTTCTGATTTGACCGGCGGTAATAATATACTCATAACATTTTACAACTTGTGCCATCTTTGGAATAGACAAAACAAAGGCGACAGAATTGTTGAATAAATAATCAGATTTATGCAAAATGATGTCAGTGACAGCTTTACTTTAAATAATATTAGCCCACAACTCATTTCTCTATATCACTAAACTCCTAAGTGTTTCCGAGAATGCCGGACGTGTGTGAAAACTGGAAGTGCTGTGAAATTTATCAGATCCCAATACACGAAGTGAGTCCACAAAGGTGATAACCGCAATTCATATGTTGCTGAGCAACAGTTACATATGTAAAGTGAATGGTAGTACTGAAACCAACGTAAGCAACATTACTATGAGAAAATTAAACCAAAAACACACCACATTACTATGGAGGTAGGGAATTTATCCTTACACTATTCACGTCACGACTGTATTGTACAAGATTACTTATTGTACATGAATTGGTTACCAGGACAGTGGCCAGTGTAACTCATAACTCATTAGTCCCTGTCGAATCCTATGGGTATAAAGCTTAAAAATGAGGCTAAATGAGAACAGTTACAATTAGGGTACCTTCCTGTTTTCTTACTTGTTAACTCAACACCGATGTTCGGATGATTTTCGACATCCTTATTTAGAAAACAATTGAACTCCCCCGGATTTAGATGTGAACCACCGTCTGGAGAAAGTGTATCCTGAAAATACAAAGGTGTGAATTCATTTGCTGCAACTAATACGACTATAATGCATGATGTACCATACGAAAAACTGAAAATACATATTTTCACACTATTAATCTAAAGACTAGACTTCAAAACTTTGGTGGAATACCGTTCCACGTTAGTTTACTTCTAAACATATCAGAGTTCTAGATAAAATTAAATAAATGGCATAAAGTTATCCTTGGAATAAAATTGTGGCGCACAAAGTGGGTGGAAGTAAAGCGATAACAATAACTAAAACTATAACCTAGCAAATGTTTTTGCAAGAAAAATTTCAAAAAAAGTCGTTTTTATGTTCGCATATCAAAGGCTAGACAGAAGCCATGCATCGACCATCGAATTACTACTCCAAAAACACACAGACCATATATATGTTTCCACATAATAGCCTTGCATGTAGCTACACAATCTGGACAGTAGTAAATTACAGTGCCCCTCAAATGTTATACATACTAATCACGAACATCAAAACGTCAGGTTAAAAATGATTTCCAACATGGAAATCTGTCAGATTCTCCAAGTTAAAAGATTTGAAATAGTAGATGTGAAATACTAATGTAGCTGTTTGTTTGATTCCCTAATTACGACAGATTGACTGATATATTCTGAAAGTCGCAGTAAAATCCCGCCCTATGTAATTCATAGTGATACGTCCAGCAATAAATGTAATTTCACTGCACATATTTGTATGGTTAACTGTAACAAATAATAGTACTTTAATAGTGACTTTAAGAATCCCATTTTTCATAATATTTAAAAGAAAAATTTAACATGAGCAAGCATAAATATTTATAAATTTATACATCACGTCTTACGGCTGTCGATTTCAGCACTGCATCGTTCAATTTCACGTCCATCTTATGACTTACACATACTGTTCCTGATTCAATATCATGGTTTGACATCGATAAACTATTTGTTTCTATATAATCCACATAAATTTTAAGTAGTTTTGTGTATCTTTCATTTTGTGCAGATAATTCTGATTTAAGATTTTGTTCTCTTTCTTCTAGTCTGAAAACTGTAGAATATTTTTTAAATATGTTGACTGTGATGAGATTTGAAATATTATCATCCTAGTATGCCTGAGACTGACACAAAAAACACATCTTAATACCCAAATAAGTCTACTTTATTTACTCAATAACAAGCCTGTAAGGTCACAGAAATCTTATCATACAAATGTATATCATTTTTCTATTTCATATAAAAGTTCCAGTAATAAACAATAATGATAAGTGGTACTTTTCTCACGTATAAATCAAACAAAAAGATACAGATTCATCAGCGAGATATAGAAACAAAGATAAATAAGCATCTGGAAAGTGGATGAATGAGTGCAACTCAGGTTCATATACTAGCCAACAAATCCTAAATGTAGTAATCAGAAGCATAACGTTTGGCCTGAACAATAAATCAACCATAAAATGATTGAAACAAATTTAAACAGACAAACCACAAAATTGGCTTATCACTGTGTCTACTTTAGTTTGCCCTTTATTTTGTTCATATAAATTAACTTGACCAGTGTGATCAGATTGTTCGAGATGTATTGCCCAAATACATCACATTTTTCAGATAATCTCTGTGTTCTAGTAACACTATCCAAACTAATAAAAAGAACTAATTGTTTTAAATTTTACTTCTTCCCCTATTTTTCTTCTACTAAATATGTGACAACTTTCATCCAAATTCTTGCAACATCCTGAAATAGCGACAAAAATTTTATGATTGATTATTTAACCAATAAATAAATCACCGCTACCAGGACACATCGTACCGTCAACTTCAAATATTTACCAAACAAAAAAACGAAAATGCCTCACCAAACGATAGAAAATATTATACTTCCATAAACTATACTTGAAGTCAACTGGCACCACGCAGTCTTCGTGATTGGTAAGACATACTCAAAGCTGGATCTGGTGCAGTACGACAACAAGGTATGAAGCTAATTACTCAGTAGGTAAGAGCATCAAATAAAGGTAACTTGGATACATTTTAATTACAGTATCTGGGCCTTTTATATACAGAACATAGCTCGTTGGCTACAGAAACAAGCAAAAGTGGAGATGCGATTATGCTAAAACAGAAATTGTCTTAATGGTGAATAGATTCATGGAGATGATACTTTTGATGCATCGGGATGCACTGGGTAGTGTCTTAGAAACTATATAGCTTAAAAGTCACACGCTTCCAAACAGCGCGGGGACGAATTGACTGAATTTTTTATTCCTTCACGTTCCCAGTGGAACATAGGGCTTCAAGCTAGAGACTTGAAGTTTCAGTAGTAGTGCTGTGTACTTTTACGGGTTGGGGTTGCTAGCCTTATGCCCAACCTTCCCTCTTTACCAACCTTATTACTGACTTAGTGAGGTAAAGGAATGCATCGGCCGAGGATCGAACTTCAGAACACATGCATGGTTGGCGAACACTCTACCGCTGTGCCACCGAATAAGGAGTTTTAATTGCTGACTGCTAAACAAAACTAAAAAATAACAAGTATTTCTGTATACATTTCAACTATACCTACCTATCATTTAATGGTGGTTTTTCTGTTGTCTCTCACCTCAACATGAAATGCTGAATTTCGGAACCTATTATATTTACTTCCGTTTTAAAGAAGGACTATCAAACACTTATCAACCATTGAGAAGATCCTTTAACTGAAGGCATATCATGAACTGATACATAATCGTGTCTTAATAACTACTCTTACGACTATTAGTTAGGAAATGTAAGATTATAGTTTATTAATAAATGACAATTATTCTTGAAGGGCAATCAGTTAGAAGATGCACTTTACCCATGTTATACCCTACAGAATACAAACTCGATGTTCGGCTTCCTGTTGTTTACTTCGTTCCTGTTTTTCATATGAAATCCAAATTTTAATGTTAGTAGACATTATGCGGATTCAAGTCAGCTTATTACTATACTGTACCAATAAAAATACAATTAATTAACACAACAACTCCAAATCTTTAACCATTAAATGATTGTCATTATATTTAGCTGGTGATGACTTACTGTGATCATTAGCATTCTTAGATATAAGTTTATAATGTCTAAGAGTCTCTTCCAACTCCTCTAGTTTTTTATCTGTTTCTTTTTTCATCCCAAGAAGTTCATCTTCTAAACAGTGGATATGCTAAATACACCATTAGTGAATATAAATATTACTAAAACGCACCCTTTTTGAGGCTGAATAAAGTTCTTTTTGACGACATAGCTCTACAGAAAGATCATTCTTTTCAGCAGTTAAGAGATTTAAGTCGAGATCCAATTTCTGCTTTTCGAGAACCAAAATGTCCATTTCTTCTAGGATACTGATAACAATAGGCACTAGTCTTCCGTAGGTGGATTCACCACAAATATTTCTCATGATCTCGAACTCTCGATAAACTATTTGGGCTAACTGATAAACCCTAGGAGAAATTCGTTGTTCATTTCCGAAATCCATAAGTCTCCGACGTTCCGATAAGCACAGATCTTCCATTACTAAGAAAAACAAAAGTAAACATTACTAACATACTGATATTAATCTTATATATTCAAAGCTAAATGCAATATTATTTTTACGTGTAGCTTATCCCAAATCCTTAATTTATATGACACATCTTATACTAGGTACAGAAATGATTATTAATGATAAATGAAATTTTCAGATGTTGGTTTTGTAGAGATTTGGTTTGATTGTATGGAGGATTTAATCATGAGCTGACATCAGTTAGAGAACCACTGGAAAACCTGGGATTCTAGTGGTAAGCCATGACCAGTAGGGTACAGTAGGTCGAAGATGAGGCAGTAACTCATCGAAGAAGACATTGCGAAGTGGTCGCGCTTTGTCGTGAACTGGCAGAAGTTAGAATTCAAGAACCATTGGATCGGGTCCCAGTGGCTCAATGGTCTACGAGCTCGCCTTGTAACCAGAAGGTCTTGGGTTCGATCCCCGGTGGGTGCGTACCGCTGAGGAGTCCCAAACTAGGACGAAGAAGCTGTCCAGTACTCCCAGGTTTTCCAGTGGTTCTCTAACTGATACCGGCTCATGATTAAATCCTCCATACAATAAATGAAATTCACACGAATAATCTAACACTAAAGATTATTACAAGCTGACGATGTTATTAACTTTAAGATTCTTTAACTAGAAGTATAAATCACCCCAAAAGTTCTGAAGTGTAAGACTGCACCAAACAACCTACCTACATCATACCTAAAATCAGCACTAGCCACCCGATAAAGTGGATCATACGTAAATTGCGCTTAACATAAACTGTTTACAAACCCATACCGTAATCCGGGGCCACGCGGTAAGCAGTATATTGCACCCCCCCCATCCATCAGGATTTGTGAATAAACCTTATCAGACATTGCAAAATCTTATTACTCAGTCTTTGCGCACTTTTCAATCACTAATACACCCACAAGAGAAAACTTTACATTAGTGGAATTATCAGTATTCTAGATAACTTAACACAGTAACACTGCATATAGATGTATACTGATTTCGAAGCCAATTTTTCCATTTATGAAATAGGAAAGGGTGACACTGACGTTCAACACCTTGAGAGCTTGTACTCTATCAGTCTTGCTGTAGCATATTTCAGACTTGCTGATTGGGGATAGAAGGCCTGAAGCATATGTAAATCCTTTTCTAATAAATTACTGTGCTTGTCCAAACCCTTCTTGGACAACCCTTTATAGAATATGTGAGTCACCCTTAAGAAGAGGACTAGTTTTAGTTGAATTGATGAATATAAGGCCTGAAATAATAAAACTTACTTTGACTATATATATAGTGAAAACTACATGTATACAAAATCAAAAGAACCAAAGTCCTCAGTAGCTTTGACAATTAATATGCGATAATGACAATGATCTACCCTTTTTGAGTTTACTAAAAATAGGTCCTCGTTCCTCAACAGCTGTATCAAGTGGTTTCCAAGACTGGGATATTGTGCATTGCTTTCTCAAACAAATATTTCCAGTTGTATACAAATGGCAAAACGACATCTATCGCGCCTATTATAGCATTACCTTGCGATACAAAACGAAACGGTACGCTTAGTGGGACTGCAACAATAATTACAAAGGAAATCTAACGTAATACGTATGTGACAGTCCACAATCAGAGAAATCCACTCAGATTCATCTCTCTGACACCTTGTACGCAGCTGAATACTTCCCGTCAAAAACCCGAAGTGTAAGATAAGTGATCTCGTGTGGCACTAGATGTGGACCGCACAATTTTACGACTTTCCAGTGTGTAATGCAGTCACTTTCGGTGCCTAGCTCAATGTATGGAATTTTATTGAACGTAGTTACACGATTTCTTTCAGTGCTTCCTGATTTTATGGTATCTGCAGTTATTAGATGGGGTGGATTCCTCTAACTGCAGAATCATAATATATGATTCTGCCAATTGTCGTTTTTAAGGAATGGTGTTTGAAGACGTCTAGTCTTAACATTGGCCGAAAAGCAAAATAAATTATCTAAAAAAAATAAATTATTTAACTCTGTTTAACACTAAACTGTTGACAAGGCCATGATAACTTATACCAAAAATCCTGTAAAGTTACAAACTAGGTGCCACCACTGGCAACCTTCAGAGTGACCTATCCAATGTCCAATATCCTGATTACGAGCTAGTATAAACCAGTGATTTCTTTGAGCTCGCTTCTTGATTGTGAGGTAGAGGTTCCAGATCTTCGGTGAGCTTCTGCGTAGTAAGTCCCACCACTCGACTGCTTTAGCTCTGGTAGACTCCAAGAGGAGTGGTGCGGGGATTGGTCGAGATGTGGTTTGTAGTATGCAGTATGTTAGGACTGTATTGCTGCCGTGAATGGAGTTTGACCTAACTCCCGTTGGTCATTCGGTGTAGTCATAAAAGCAGAATAGTAATAATAATAATAATAGGTTGTAGTGTAGATAATATAGGTTGAGATAAGTGGAATAATAAAGGTGACCTAAGGAAAAGATAGAGTGAGAGAAGGCAGAATAGGTCGTGGGGATTTAGTTTGTACGCTTATCCATTGACAGTGTGGTTTTAAGTTTTATGAGGATAAGCCATTGAGACACAAACCTTGCATTTCTGCATGATTGTCTAGCTTCCGCTTAAAAATCTCCACAGATGGCGCTGTAGTCACGGCCGCCGGTAAAGCGTTCCAGAGACGGCAAACACGAAGCGAAAAGAAATGTGATCGCACTCGAGTCTTTGGTCTCTGGTGTGCTATCCTTAGCGGGTTACCTCGTGGAAGCCTATAATCACTTAATGGCAGGATGCTTTTATTTGGGTGGGCCTGGTCATTTAAGATCTGGTAGACGGTGATGAGGTCTCCCCTGTGCCTACGGTAACTAAGTGTGAAAAGACCTAATTTCTTTAGTCTTTCCTCATATGATTTGTTGCGGAGGCCGATCACCCATTTTGTCGCTCGTCTCTGGACACTTTCTAGAATGTTAGCATCCCTTTTGAGTAGCGGAGGTGCAATGATATTATGCACCTCAAGGTGTGGCCTCACATATGCCTTATATAACCTTAAGAACAGTTCGGGAGTGAGAGCTCCCAGCTGCCTATGCATAAAGTGTAAAGTTGCGTAGGCTTTGGCGACGTCCCTCGAGTAATTTCCACTGGTGTCTAGCTTTTCTGTTAGAATAAGACCTAGATCGCGCTCTGATGGAACACAACTCAAGTTCTGGCCACCAAGGGTGTAATTTACACTCTGTGACCTGCCGGAATGAAGTTGCACTACTTTGCACTTCTTTAGGTTGAAAGGCATTCCGTTAGCCAGAGCCCAGTTTCCCAGAGCCTGCAATCTATCTGAGTCTTCCGATGAGTTTATTGCTCTCCAAATCTTTACGTCGTCAGCGTAAAGAAGCGCAGAGCAGTTTAGTTGGGAGGGCAGGTCGTTGATAAAAATCAAAAACATCAACGGCCCTAGGATAGAACCCTGAGGAACCCCTGATGCCGAGGTGTGCCAGGATGATCGGATGCGGTTGACTTTGGTGCAGAATTCTCTCTCGCCTAAGTAATCTGTCAGCCATGCGAGAAGTGCTCCAGAAACACCCGCCTTGCTTATTTTGTGAAGGAGCAGACCATGGTGAACTGTGTCGAATGCTTTCGCAAAGTCGAGAAAGATCACGTGGGCTGGTACCTTTTTGTCCCAGGATAGTGTCCAATCGTTCCAAGCTAGTAGAAGATTCGTCACGCAGGATCTTCCCCTCCTGAAACCGTGCTGTGCTTCGTGAAGAAGGTTAGTCCCATCGAAGTATTTTCTCATGTGGTCGTCAATGAGACTTTCCAATATTTTCGATATCACTGGAAGTAGAGCAACTGGTCTGTAACTGGTCGCATTCTGCCGGTCACCACCCTTGAAGATAGGGGATAGGATTGCTCGTTTCCATTCACATGGAAGTTTCCCTACATCAAGGGAGTGTTGGAACAGATCACTTAGGGGTTGGCAGAGACTTTCTGAACACTGCTTCAGGACAGATGGTCTGATGTCATCACAACCTGAAGACTTTCCCGAAGCCAACTTTCCCAATTTTGCAAGTACCATAGCCGGGGTAATTTGAAATGTACCCAGCAGGTTTTCGCGTGTTGGTTTGGCGATGTAATCTTGATGTTCTGTGGGGGTAATATCCTCGTTACTGTCTAGTTGCCTGTGAAAGGCTAGGCTGAATGTCTCTGCCATTTCAAGACTAGTAAGAGATTTCCCATCAGAACCCACTAGATTGCATGCTCCCTGGTTGGTCGGTTTTCTTTCGGACATAAACCTGTATAGGCTTTTGGGGTTCACGAGAAGCTTATTGGCGAGGTTTCCCTGAAATGTCCTTCTATCGCTCCGGACTCGTATGTTACATCGATTCCTGAGTTCAAGGTACACTTCATGTTCGGGTTGACTCTTCGATCGTCGCCACGCAAACCAGGCTTTTCGCTTCGCCTGCAGAAGGCGTTGTGTCCCACCTATTTTATAATAATAATAATTTGCTTTATTCCAAAAACAGTACTCGTGATACAGAATGGAATTTTCAGCATTAATCACAATATTGCATCTAATTTCCTCAAATTATAAATAAAATTAATCACACAGAAAATTTTCCACATTTACAATAGAGGTAGTGTCAAAAACATGCAGCATATAAAATGGAAATAGCAATAATAATGATAACAGCTAGGGTAATAATAATACAAGTGAAAATTGCCGTTGGCTTGTGTCACACAGTATTGGCAATGTGGTATAGAAATCCTAACATGTTTAAAAATATTGAATATAATGTTCTCTTTACATGATATGGTGAGGGGAAAAACAAAGATTACAGCCGTCATGGAGATAAGTTGGTGTTTGCAATTATGAGAGTAAAACAGAGAAGTAACAGGACCATAAATATAATATAAGTAATAAAAGTAAAACTTGAAGGTATATAAGGATGGATGGAGGAAATTGTTTATTTACTAGATGAAAAAAGGTTAGTTAATTCTTGCCTGACACTATTTTCATCACATAAAATACGTGCCAAGTATGGTATCATAGAATTCTTATACTTAGACGTGCGAGCATACAGTTTTCTGAAGTTACTCCTTGTTCTACCTGAGGAGATGCAAGGTGAAAGCTGAGGGTAAAGCGGATGCTCCAAGTCAGACAAAATCCCTTTAGCAAATTTATTGCATGAAGTCAAGTGCCTATCGACAACGACGTTAACTATGTGGTCCACTGGGACACCACTCACCCTACTGACAGTCTTCAGTATTCTACGAATTGTGACATAGTCCTTTTTAAGCAAACCAGGAAAGAATAAGGGTGAACAATAAAGAAGAATAGGTAGGATGCAAGAGTTTATGAACTGTAAGAGGAGGGGTTGAGTTATACCCGAGTGTCTTAACTTCTTAATGTAAAATGTCAGGCGGAATATTTTACTGGAGATTGCTAAGACATGGGAAGACCAGGAGAGATCAGAAGAGAGAATGAGTCCAAGATACTTAATTTCTGATTTGATTCCTATATCATTGTCGTCAATTTTACAAGTGTCATGAGAATCGATGACTTCTTTTAACTGTCGTTTACATCTTAAGCTGAAATCAACAGTTTGACACTTAGAAGGATTCAGTTTAAGACCGTTAGACTCAGACCATTTGCTGACTTCCGATAGAAAGCTATTTATTTTAGTACAATCTAGCTGGGAGTTAACAGCCATTGAAACCGTTAAATCATCAGCGTACTTCACAAAGTTTATTTCATCAGAGTGAGGCAAGTCATGCAAGAAGAAAGAAAAAAGAAAAGGAGAAAGAACAGCACCTTGAGGGACACCAGCTTCAGTAGGCAATGAAGTGGAAGACTTCCCTTTATATACGGTGTACTGCTTTCTATCTGAGAAATAGGAATGTAACCAGTTAACAGCCCAACATTCTGTTTGACTAGCAGCAAGTTTATTTAATAAGATGTCCCTAGGGACCGAGTCGAAAGCAGATGTATAGTCTAGGAAGGCGCAACGAACAAATTTAGCCCCCTTGTCTAGACTGGAAGCAATGTTATGATATAAGACGGCAGCTGCATCTAAAGTGCTTCTACTGTGCTTATAGGCGAATTGTTTAGGGTCATTAAAGGATTTAAGCGAAGGTACAAGACTAAGTAAAAGTAATTTCTCCATAGTTTTCAAAAAAGGAGAGGTAATAGCAATGGGTCTAAATTTGACACATGCTCCAGTAGATGATTTAGGTATGGGTACAACTTTAATGTCCTTCCAAACGGCAGGCACAATATTATCGGAAAAAGATTTGTTAAATAGATCAGTAAGAGGGTGACACAGAATATCAGAACATTTTTTAAAAATAATACTAGGTACATAATCGGGACCTAAGCTCTGGGAAGGGTTTAGAGACTTGAGGCACTTTTGAACATCATTTGTGTTAAAACCTGGAAAGGGGCTATTATTAACACAAGTGATGCTGGGAAGCATGGCATTTGAGGGAGAGTAAATAAAAGATTTGTTAAGAGTACATACATCAAAAGAATATGGAATATTGTTTATCTGCTTACCACCAGTGATTTCCTTAAATAGTTTCCACATATTAGAAGGATTTTTGCAGGATATGAATTTCTGGTTATATATTACATTCAACCTCTGCATTTCAGACTTAATTAAGAAGTTAGTTCTTTTTACACCACTCTTATCTTTCATCTTCTACAGTTTTTCCTTCTCTCTACGAAGCTTTTCAAGTTGAGGCGAGGAGAAACGGTCAAATTTGACGAATAGTGTTTGTCAATGTAGTTGAAAATTGAACGATCATTTCATGGTTGTTTGATCAAACACACAGTGAGGTGAGAGGGCTAAGAGGCAAAATAGCTGAACTTAGACACCTACAATCAGAATTGAACTCCAAAATTATAATACTGACGGAAACCTGGCTAACCCCTACGGTGGCAGACAGCGAAGTCAGTATAAATGATATGGTCCTAGTCAGGCGAGATAGGGACCTGAAAGGAGGAGGTGGAGTCGCCATATACGTCGACAAACAGCTCAGATGTGTTCACGCGATGGACCCCCCGTCACTGAGCTCCCTGACTCCATATGGTGCCACTTCACCGTTAGGTACTGCAAATATCTAGTGGGCAGCATTTATCGATCACCTTCATGTGGAGTAGACCACAACCAGGTACTGCCAAATACAATTTCAGCAACTCAAGACATGGGTTATGATCAAATGGTCATAGCTTGTGACTTCAATGCCCCATCTCTTAACTTGGTGTTGGGAAAAGCCCATGATAGATTTGATCGAAATCTGCTGCATACCATCAGGAAGGCTGGATTCACTGAAAATGTCAGGATGTACACTAGATGGGGCCCTGATGGGAAGTCTTCTAGACTGGATTACGTGCTCACTAGTGACCAGCTACTAGTGGAAAACGTTCAGATCACGACTCCCATAGGTAGTAGTGACCACGCGGTCATAGTATTCGACATAGTCCTACACGAGCGCTTACAGTGGGACAATACACAGCCCTACCTGTGTTATAACAAAGCCAATTACACCAAAATGCGAAGACTTCTGTCTGAAGCAAATTGGCCTAAAAAATGGACAGAGCTAACAGTAGAAGAACACTGGAGAGTGGTAAAGGAGATCATTCACCAGGCGCTCTCAGACACTGTTCCTTTAGTCACACCAAAAGCCAGTAAGCGACGTTGATGGATATTGGCGGCCTGCATAAATCTTGGGCTACCAAAATTTTCATCCTACATATTGCATCTATTTCCTCGGATTTATTTTGTTTTAATTATTCATTTACGTATCCAAGTCGGATTACTTACTCTCGCGATTATTTAAAATGTTTTCAACTTGTTTATTTACGAGTATATAATAACGTTAAGAAAAAGCATCATGGAGGTTGGCAGAGATCATTAAAGTGTACTCCAATGCATCAGATGACTGTTCCTGTGATTATGAGCACAAATTGCAGGTCATTATCGAACAAGATTAACTACTTGCATTCTCTATTATACTCAAATGTATATTGTAATACTGGTGTAATCACTCTTCAAGAGACTTGGCTCCATGATTCATATGACGATAATTTGGTCTCCTTAAGTGGGTTCACAATCTACAGAGAAGACTGATGCAGCTCAAAGAAGAAGAGAGGTGGTGGTGTTGCCACTTTTATTAATTCTCAGTGGTCTAATGCCAACAACGTCTGCTCCGAATTCTCAAATGACAATATTGACTGTGTAACTGTAAAATGTCGACCTAAAAACACTTATCTAAGTATAGCTTCATTTTTGTCACAAATATCTATATCACACCTTTTTGCAGTCCCTCAGAACTATCTATCTTCGCTGATGAATTCACTGTTTTGCTGCTGCTTCGTTTGGTAACTCCTTATCTATAGTGACCGGCGACTTCAACTCTAGCGACTGCAGTTTTATTACATTGCTGGGCCATGAAAATGTTGTTAATTTCCCAACTCGACAAAATACTTCACTTGATTTAGTATTTATAAATGATTCTGGAATATATGAAGCTCGTAAAAGAGCCCCAATCTTCAATTCTGATCATTGTATTGTGCGAGTCTTACCCAAAATTTACGGAAAATTACACAGTAAAGCCTTCTCAAACTTGTCTAAGAAAGTTGTTCACAGATGCTACTCAAATGAGAACGTACATCATCTTAGAAACATGCTCAGTGACACAAGATGGGATTTGTTTAATGATGGTTCACTTAATGGAAATATCTCTGATATTACATCCTATCTGAAATTCTGTTTTGAAATCTGTTGTCCAAAAGAAACACTGTCAGCCACGTCTCGTAAACCGTTAATGCCCAGCTCTTGCTATGCTCAGGCTCACGCTGTTACTTGAAGTTTCTCAGAAACACTTAGTAAAAACGGACGCAAAAACCAAGACACCGATTGGCGACTCGAGAATTCTTTATTGTAACACCAACATATGGCCAACTTTAAAACTAAGCTTTACAGCTGAGGTCTATGAACAAATATTACAATAATGAATCACAATATTACTTCTGACAGTTTTGGCCTGACTTCTTTCTGAACAGCGACCGATGAGACGATGACTGGTGTATTGATGCCTCCGTGAAAATTGGGGAAGTTGGTTTTGAGCAAACAACCGTGAATCAATCGTTCAATCTTCAACTTCATTCATACTCCCCGGCAGAATACCGATCCATCCCTCCTTTTCCATCACGACCAATACACGTTGAATTGGATGCCATTGCGAGAACCTGGGTCACTCGGACAGAGCTGAAATGGAAAACAAACAGAAAAGCCAACACACCACAAGCACACCCACAGCACAATCTCACACATCAATGACGACCTGCGCCTTCTAGTTAAAGGCCTCCTCTCGACATCTTGCAACAAAATCGCCACTTGCTAGAATGACTCTTGTAGAATGCAAAGTGACCATAGCACCACCTCTCGATACTCTACGCATATCCTGTTATCTACTCACTACCAATTACCACTGAGATCGCCTGTCACACATTCTGCCTCAGTTCTAGTAACGGTGACGTCATTCTCAGCAATAGCCTCCCCGGCGTATACGACCCATCTGCTGTCTTTAACATCAATTAATTCATTCACGGATGTAGAAGACTGGAAACAACTTACGAAGTAATCACGACGAAAATTTTAACAAAATTACGCAATAAAATGAAGGTAAGAAAAAAACGAGAAAACACAATTAATCTTAAATCACAAATTGAGAAGACACACCACACGTATACACAAACAGTACAAATAACCACCCGGATCATGTTTTGACGGAATTCCATTGAAGTATTGCAGGACTCACACCAGTACGCCTATAACCCTCCACAGGTTGACGACTGTGAGTTGTGGAATGTCAGGACACAAAAAGATAAACCAACAATTACAATAAATGGAATACAATTATTTAAAACAAACATATGTGCAATCAACACATCAAAAGTTGTGGATAATGCCATGAGGAACTATCCATGAAGACCTGTAGGAATTAATGCAGTACGCCTACAACCCTTCTCAGGTTGACGCTCTAAGTTGGAAAATCGTCTCAGAGTTCATTTGCTGACTTCCCTCTATCAGCTATATCCTCAAATCTGAACGGTAACACGCTCATGTCATTGTATCGTGGAATATAGATGACGAACAAACACACGACGTATCTGATCAACCAAGCGTAGGCACAGAGTAATTTACACCAAAGATAGTAACATTCAAATAGTAAGTTGAAACTTGAAATGCCTTTATTCATGCAAGTCAATTTAACAATTACTCTCTCGTTTACACTTGGCTTATCCTTACTAAACTGAGCAATATCTTTCGTCTTTTCAAATGCACCAATACTATCATAGTCATTGGGCAAGATACTTGAGTTGATGGGCGTCTGTTTCATTGTGGATGACAACACCAACGACGACTGATTGATACCAGTTGATGAACTTAGCGGTGTATCAGAAGCTGTTCTTGTTCAGCTTTCAGAAATTTGTCTAACTGCAAGATTACCACCACTGTTGTCTTTTACTATCAGCTCCGGTTTAGCACTAGCATCTGATGATAGGTGGGCTTCACTCTGATCAATTACACTGACGGTTTGACAAGTATGCATGCCTTCTGCAACTGCATCTGCATTTAATTCTACTCCAACTTCAAGTTGTACAGAACCTTTGTTCAACTTAGCAGTAGTAAGCATATCCCTCATGATCAACCAAAAACGAATGTGAAGTATCATCATCATTACCACAAATATTCACCTTACGTCAATATCATCAATTTCAAACTCTTTAATAACAGCAGCTGATGATTTGGGTTCTTCCTCACAAATCCTTAAAGGTTTTATACCTTCGCTCTGACTAGTAATACCTAGTAAACTTGTGGAGTCAGAACTGCACTCTGAAGCAGTAACTCTATTCTGTGACACTCTATTCAACAATGGCTCACCAGTTGCAACTACAGACTTCTTCACCGCACCGTTATCGTCACACAATTCGGAGTCAGGCCTGGAGTTTACATTCAGCCTATCACTGAACTTGCTCACTGGTTCACAGTTCACCTCTGTATGCACCTCTTGCAAACGTGTAAAACGCAACCGTGTTTGTCTTGCATCTTGTAACTTATCTGTTGAGGATGTACTACGAAACCTGTTACACTCACTAGGTCTATATGCATTACTAGACATCATGGAGCCTTCTCGATATCCACCTCTCTGAGACCCTTTCGTCATCGATGACTGCATTTTGCTCTCAGACTGCTCTATTCTGGGGGTGAGATGCAATGGACTGGCGAACTTGCTCATAGATAGATTGACTCTATCTTTTACCAGTTTCAGGATATCATCAAACTTTGGCTCGACACCCTCATCCTCCATACGGGAGCTTATCTTCACCCACTTCCTTTGCAGTCGAGTAGGTAGGCGTCTTGCTATCACTTCTAGTATAAAACTCGAGTTGAGGTCACTCATGCGATTCATCGAAATCAATGCATTCTTGTATATCAGCAAATTATCCAAAAACTCAGTGAGTGCCTGGGAGTCATCTTGTAGTTGACTGCCGTTACCTTTGACACCTTCGAATACGTTCCTCACAATCACAGAAGGTCTTCCAAACCTTTGACGTAATACGCTCATAGCCTCAGCGTATCCCTCATTAGGGGGCATGAACTTACAGCACTGTATAGCTCTTGCAGCAACACCAGTGCAATACCTCATCAAATACATCAATTTCAATTCATCACTTAATAAAAAACTACTCAGCATGATCTCGAACTCCTTTACAATTTGTAAATAATCAGCCGGGTTTCCATCGAAACACCGTAGTTCGAATTTAGGAAGTTTGATGTTCCTATTATCCCTGAATGGCGAAACAGCAACATCAACCATGTCATGCCTAACATCAGACACATCGTTACAAGTAACAGACAAGTCAACATGACTTACTTTCCTGTTTGCATCCAAGACGCTCTGTCCCTTCTTTGACCCAGGCATTGTTGAACTTGACCCAATTCCAAAAACGTTCCAGATATTGCTTGTTCAAAGAAGAATTGACCGGCACCAGGAAAGATGAATAAAGCTATCCAAACTATCATCAACTGCCTGAATCGGCCAGAATCTGTTTCTACCGTCAGAAACTGTCAGTTACCTCTCGTAAACCGTTAATGCCCAGCTATTGCTTTGCTCAGGCTCACGCTGTTACTTGAAGTTTCTCAGAAACACTTAGTAATAACGGACGCAAAAACCAAGACACCGATTGGCGACTCGAGAATTCTTTATTGTAACACCAACATATGGCCAACTTTAAAACTAAGCTTTACAGCTGAGGTCTATGAACAAATATTACAATAATGAATCACAATATTACTTCTGACAGTTTTGGCCTGACTTCTTTCTGAACAGCGACCGATGAGACGATGACTGGTGTATTGATGCCTCCGTGAAAATTGGGGAAGTTGGTTTGAGCAAACAACCATGAATTGATGATTCAATCTTCAACTGCATTGACAACCTGGCTGACAGTTTCTGACAGTGAAGTCAATTTCTGACGGTAGAAACGGATTATGACCGATTCAGGCAGTTGATGATAGTTTGGATAGCTTTATTCATCTTTCCTGGTGCCGGTCAATTCTTCTTTGAACAAGCAATATCTGGAACGTTTTTGGAATTGGGTCAAGTTCAACAATGCCTGGGTCAAAGAAGGGACAGAGCGTCTTGGATGCAAACAGGAAAGTAAGTCATGTTGACTTGTCTGTTACTTGTAACGATGTGTCTGATGTTAGGCATGACATGGTTGATGTTGCTGTTTCACCATTCAGGGATAATAGGAACATCAAACTTCCTAAATTCGAACTACGGTGTTTCGATGGAAACCCGGCTGATTATTTACAAATTGTAAAGGAGTTCGAGATCATGCTGAGTAGTTTTTTATTAAGTGATGAATTGAAATTGATGTATTTGATGAGGTATTGCACTGGTGTTGCTGCAAGAGCTATACAGTGCTGTAAGTTCATGCCCCCTAATGAGGGATACGCTGAGGCTATGAGCGTATTACGTCAAAGGTTTGGAAGACCTTCTGTGATTGTGAGGAACGTATTCGAAGGTGTCAAAGGTAACGGCAGTCAACTACAAGATGACTCCCAGGCACTCACTGAGTTTTTGGATAATTTGCTGATATACAAGAATGCATTGATTTCGATGAATCGCATGAGTGACCTCAACTCGAGTTTTATACTAGAAGTGATATCAAGACGCCTACCTACTCGACTGCAAAGGAAGTGGGTGAAGATAAGCTCCCGTATGGAGGATGAGGGTGTCGAGCCAAAGTTTGATGATATCCTGAAACTGGTAAAAGATAGAGTCAATCTATCTATGAGCAAGTTCGCCAGTCCATTGCATCTCACCCCCAGAATAGAGCAGTCTGAGAGCGAAATGCAGTCATCGATGACGAAAGGGTCTCAGAGAGGTGGATATCGAGAAGGCTCCATGATGTCTAGTAATGCATATAGACCTAGTGAGTGTAACAGGTTTCGTAGTACATCCTCAACAGATAAGTTACAAGATGCAAGACAAACACGGTTGCGTTTTACACGTTTGCAAGAGGTGCATACAGAGGTGAACTGTGAACCAGTGAGCAAGTTCAGTGATAGGCTGAATGTAAACTCCAGGCCTGACTCCGAATTGTGTGACGATAACGGTGCGGTGAAGAAGTCTGTAGTTGCAACTGGTGAGCCATTGTTGAATAGAGTGTCACAGAATAGAGTTACTGCTTCAGAGTGCAGTTCTGACTCCACAAGTTTACTAGGTATTACTAGTCAGAGCGAAGGTATAAAACCTTTAAGGATTTGTGAGGAAGAACCCAAATCATCAGCTGCTGTTATTAAAGAGTTTGAAATTGATGATATTGACGTAAGGTGAATATTTGTGGTAATGATGATGATACTTCACATTCGTTTTTGGTTGATCATGAGGGATATGCTTACTACTGCTAAGTTGAACAAAGGTTCTGTACAACTTGAAGTTGGAGTAGAATTAAATGCAGATGCAGTTGCAGAAGGCATGCATACTTGTCAAACCGTCAGTGTAATTGATCAGAGTGAAGCCCACCTATCATCAGATGCTAGTGCTAAACCGGAGCTGATAGTAAAAGACAACAGTGGTGGTAATCTTGCAGTTAGACAAATTTCTGAAAGCTGAACAAGAACAGCTTCTGATACACCGCTAAGTTCATCAACTGGTATCAATCAGTCGTCGTTGGTGTTGTCATCCACAATGAAACAGACGCCCATCAACTCAAGTATCTTGCCCAATGACTATGATAGTATTGGTGCATTTGAAAAGACGAAAGATATTGCTCAGTTTAGTAAGGATAAGCCAAGTGTAAACGAGAGAGTAATTGTTAAATTGACTTGCATGAATAAAGGCATTTCAAGTTTCAACTTACTATTTGAATGTTACTATCTTTGGTGTAAATTACTCTGTGCCTACGCTTGGTTGATCAGATACGTCGTGTGTTTGTTCGTCATCTATATTCCACGATACAATGACATGAGCGTGTTACCGTTCAGATTTGAGGATATAGCTGATAGAGGGAAGTCAGCAAATGAACTCTGAGACGATTTTCCAACTTAGAGCGTCAACCTGAGAAGGGTTGTAGGCGTACTGCATTAATTCCTACAGGTCTTCATGGATAGTTCCTCATGGCATTATCCACAACTTTTGATGTGTTGATTGCACATATGTTTGTTTTAAATAATTGTATTCCATTTATTGTAATTGTTGGTTTATCTTTTTGTGTCCTGACATTCCACAACTCACAGTCGTCAACCTGTGGAGGGTTATAGGCGTACTGGTGTGAGTCCTGCAATACTTCAATGGAATTCCGTCAAAACATGATCCGGGTGGTTATTTGTACTGTTTGTGTATACGTGTGGTGTGTCTTCTCAATTTGTGATTTAAGATTAATTGTGTTTTCTCGTTTTTTTCTTACCTTCATTTTATTACGTAATTTTGTTAAAATTTTCGTCGTGATTACTTCGTAAGTTGTTTCCAGTCTTCTACATCCGTGAATGAATTAATTGATGTTAAAGACAGCAGATGGGTCGTATACGCCGGGGAGGCTATTGCTGAGAATGACGTCACCGTTACTAGAACTGAGGCAGAATGTGTGACAGGCGATCTCAGTGGTAATTGGTAGTGAGTAGATAACAGGATATGCGTAGAGTATCGAGAGGTGGTGCTATGGTCACTTTGCATTCTACAAGAGTCATTCTAGCAAGTGGCGATTTTGTTGCAAGATGTCGAGAGGAGGCCTTTAACTAGAAGGCGCAGGTCGTCATTGATGTGTGAGATTGTGCTGTGGGTGTGCTTGTGGTGTGTTGGCTTTTCTGTTTGTTTTCCATTTCAGCTCTGTCCGAGTGACCCAGGTTCTCGCAATGGCATCCAATTCAACGTGTATTGGTCGTGATGGAAAAGGAGGGATGGATCGGTATTCTGCCGGGGAGTATGAATGAAGTTGAAGATTGAACGATTGATTCACGGTTGTTTGCTCAAAACCAACTTCCCCAATTTTCACGGAGGCATCAATACACCAGTCATCGTCTCATCGGTCGCTGTTCAGAAAGAAGTCAGGCCAAAACTGTCAGAAGTAATATTGTGATTCATTATTGTAATATTTGTTCATAGACCTCAGCTGTAAAGCTTAGTTTTAAAGTTGGCCATATGTTGGTGTTACAATAAAGAATTCTCGAGTCGCCAATCGGTGTCTTGGTTTTTGCGTCCGTTATTACTAAGTGTTTCTGAGAAACTTCAAGTAACAGCGTGAGCCTGAGCATAGCAATAGCTGGGCATTAACGGTTTACGAGACGTGGCTGACAGTGTTTCTTTTGGACAACAGATTTCAAAACAGAATTTCAGATAGGATGTAATATCAGAGATATTTCCATTAAGTGAACCATCATTAAACAAATCCCATCTTGTGTCACTGAGCATGTTTCTAAGATGATGTACGTTCTCATTTGAGTAGCATCTGTGAACAACTTTCTTAGACAAGTTTGAGAAGGCTTTACTGTGTAATTTTCCGTAAATTTTGGGTAAGACTCGCACAATACAATGATCAGAATTGAAGATTGGGGCTCTTTTACGAGCTTCATATATTCCAGAATCATTTATAAATACTAAATCAAGTGAAGTATTTTGTCGAGTTGGGAAATTAACAACATTTTCATGGCCCAGCAATGTAATAAAACTGCAGTCGCTGGAGTTGAAGTCGCCGGTCACTATAGATAAGGAGTTACCAAACGAAGCAGCAGCAAAACAGTGAATTCATCAGCGAAGATAGATAGTTCTGAGGGACTGCAAAAAGGTGTGATATAGATATTTGTGACAAAAATGAAGCTATACTTAGATAAGTGTTTTTAGGTCGACATTTTACAGTTACACAGTCAATATTGTCATTTGAGAATTTGGAGCAGACGTTGTTGGCAGTAATAATAATAATAACATATATTTCTTCCTGTTTATGCAGGAACATACCAATTGTACAGGCATGGATAAGTTATTATATAAATTACACAAAATTTGATGTATAATAGTTTTACAGTTTGGTTGTTCTTTCTGACATCAAAGTCAGTCGGAACAGTCTGCTATAAAGTTTGTTTGTGTAGCACATAAAGAGATATAGAAATATTGTCTTCGCATTAACAAAAAACCCAGACATCAGATGAATGTAATACAAATACCTGGGAAAAATAAAGCTTGAAGTCAATTCTCCTATATAACTTTGTTGTGAACAGCACCTTTGGCTTAAAGATTATTGATGTATTATGTTGAGATCAGTGATATATTTATTCCATTTTTTCAGTAGTCTTATCGTAGTTTTATAACAGGAAAGAAATTTGATCGTGGATACGAAAACTAGATAAGGTCATGTTGGGTTGTTTTACTGCATCAAGTGGTGCCG